GGATAAGCGGTTTAGATGATGTATGTATGTATGTATGTACCTAATTTCCATATATATGAAATAAGTCACATCAACACAATAGACTATTTGTATAATTGTCCCACCTCTTTTATTTACTGTTGCTAAGTCTGTCAAACTTTCAGCTCAGGCCATCTGGTGCCATCTGTTGAAAAAAAAAGTCACACAGAGGGAGTATATTTAAAAACAACCAACCAAACAAACAAAAACTATTCATTATTATTTAAAAACAATCTGCCTTTACAAGATGTTCATAGCATACATAAATATTTGAGAACAGAGAATATGAATGTAGGTAAATTCATAGCATCAGAAAAAAAAGATTCTGAAAGCCATGTTTACATTAATCAAACCAGGGAAATCTTTTAGCCACTCAGTTTTCATGTCATATATAAAGCTAATGCTAAAACTAACACTGGAGCTAATTGCTACAGCATATACATTACTTTCATAAAACAATATAAATGATTGCACATGCACAAATACAAAAGTATCAATCTTTACACAGAATGTTCCCAAAAGCCTGTTTAATATGACTGATTTATAAAGTTAATTGTCAGTTATGAAACGCTAACTTAGCTAACAGATCTTAACATTGTTCTGTAACACTTTTTTCATTAGAAATCACATGAAAATCAGTGTTAGCAAATACAGTAACTTTGATAAAATTCAGCTTACATTAGAGCCCACATAAGTCTGCCTATAATAATGATATTGATCCTCCATAGAATTCCAGAATATTTCTAGCTTTAGAAAATAGAAACAGCATATGTCTGAATTACTAGCTCATAAATTACCCTTTCACATCTCTATCAGTTCAATAATTTAGATTAATTTACTGCCACCTTCATTCTCACTGCAGGTTTGTTCTGAATTTTGTTTTTCCTTTGCTTGATGAAAGAATTAGCACTCAGTGTTTACGTTTAATTAGCACTCAATGTTTACATTTAATTTTTGCTAAAAGAAGGTAAATTACGAGACTTTGATGTATATGATTTATTTAAATAGGAATGTTGTACGTATTTAAATTAAAGCTTAAATTAAAGCTTCACTAAGTACATTTAGGGGATTTGTGGATTTGAAGACCTCTCTGGTGTAAATGTGTAATTGCATGCAACATGTTGAAGTTAATTTTGGAACATCAGTTGTGCTTCAGACCCCTTACCTTCATTAAGCTGATTAATCTGAACAAGAGTCTTCAGAGGATGTAAGTGAATGATCTACTCTTGTCATCATATCTCCATCAAAATAATGTTGATTTTGTATTTAAGGCCCAAACTTTGAGCATGACCTTCTTTTTGAGCCTGCACATGTGATGTGTGATGGGGTCTAAAAACTCAGTAAAATCTGCTCTGACCTCTGACTTTTAAATTATTATTTCAGGCTTTAGAGGGTGACTTGCAGCAGCGCGCACACCATATTTTAACCTTTTTTTTCTGATGACACAGTAATGCAGCTTCTTTCAATTTTAACCAAAAAATCTTACATAGTGAAGCTTTTTAGTAAACTAAACATACAGCTTTTATTTTATAAAAAATACAAAATCTCTCAGGTTGACGATTGAATTTGAGATATAATTCTCCAATTCTGTGCTTACTTGCAGCTTTAATAGTGTTAATAACGATAATAGCTTGCAATCTTTGTCAAAAGGTATTTGCAACATAGTCACCGACAGCGAAAGAACACGTCTGGAGACACATGTCCTTCAGAGGTTAATGAGTTTGGATGATGGGGCTACACTTTTTTGCAATTCATATTTTCTGTTTGTTGTATTAAACGGCATCCTGAAAAAGCAGCATTTCCCCCAAAGGTCTTTTATTCACAGAATACTAATGCATTTGTGTTTGGAAATTGGAAACACTTTTACTGAAATGGTGGTGTGGTGTAGCCTTTCACGTTTGAGTAGTGACATGCTTGCTTGCGTTTTATAGCACAATACAGTGAGACACACTTGTCAAGTATGGCATAGTCAATACGAATGAAAAGCAATCAGGTGCCTCATCAAAGACAAGAACCCCCCACACTCTCTGTCAAAGGCTTTAAGCGCTCCAGGAAGATCAATACTGACAAAAGACATCTCCCTCTCTCTTTCTCTCTCTTTTTCTCTCTCCCATACGCACACACAGACACTTACAGAGGCAGTCCCATACCTCAGTGTTTTCAATCAACGATCTCTGTCAATGCTAACAGACTTCTTTCAGGCTTTCTAAACCTCAGGTCTCTGTCTACAATGATAAGAATTCTGTGTGCTGAATAAACTCTCCTCTCCAGTGTCTATCTAATCATAGTCTAGCGACTGAGAGAGAACAGCTGAAGTCTAATCATAACTATCTAGCGCAGCCTTTTCTTTCTCTGTCTCTCCCTAAGAAAGGTCATATATTGTGTAGTCATGGCAGAGTCCACGCGCAGCTAAAGACTTTCTCTCTTATCGTTCCTGCTCTGGCTGGATTCTGGGAAGTACTAATCCTCTAATGGGATGACATTGACTTGTGCCATTGATTGTGTGTTCGTCTGGGCGAGGGAATTCCTCTGGGATGGCAGGGGGAAGGTGTTCCTTCACTGCCTCACTGATTTTGATAACATTGTTCAAATGCTGCGTCCTCAAACCTGCTTCCAACCTTCTGTTTTTCAGCCAAGCATGAGCATTCTATTAACATGGTATCACACAGCAGCTGAGTGAGCCAGGTAGTGCACAGAAATGACTCAGAAATGACTAAGAAGTGGATCTTCATGCATGGCTTGGATATGGGCCTGCTTCAGTCCTGAATCAACTGCACTTAGAGTTTCATGCCCAGTCTTTGCATTATGACAGGAGTGAAGACCTGAATGCTGGAGTCCAGCACAGTTTGGTGTGTTTGGTGATTTGAATCAGGTTTGTTTCCAGTGGAAAATGTGACATTATGTTCTTGTTACTGTGATAAATTACATCACAATACACTTCTAACTAACTAATGTGGTCAAGTCAGGTGGAACTGTCAAAGCAACCATGGTTTGGTCATTTTTCGTTTTATGCCACTTTAAAATGTCTAATCGTGCTAATTAGCAACGTTGCTAGTTACCTTAACCTATTGGCTATCTTAAAACTACTACACTGTTTTGTACACATGCACTCACATAAATGTCTACATTTACACAGATTCAGATGTAGATTCAAGCAAAGCTTAAATGTGTCATTGTTGAATGTGATAATATGAGCAAAAACAGTTTCTAAAGAGTCTATTATAAATGCTAATAGTGTTAATTTCCCAAAGTCTTTACAAAATAGTCACTTTAAGAATAAAGATCAACATGTTAACATACCTTTTTAGCTTACATTCTAGTGCTTGGTGACTTTATCATCACCAGGAAGAGTAAAGAATTTAATAAAGTTTCATCTGCAAACATTAGCAGTCTCAGAAGAGAACACCCTCAAATACCATTTTGTTCTTTTAATAATCGTCTTGTGCAGGTGCTTGAAACCCCCCAAAAAAAGGAACCTTCTGTACTGAGCTAATGTCCAAAGGATAAAGCACAGCTCCAGTCTCCTGATCCCAAAGGTTCCAGTACTCCCAGTTCCGTGCAATGGAAAAAAATACCTTATTTATTTATTATTCAAACAAATTGTTTTATTTTGTCACCTGATCCCTAAATAATTTAGTTTAACATTGTGTTTTGTGAAAATGTATTCAAACTCTACATAGTTATAAATTAGCCATATTGCTGACTTGTACAATTTAACATTGACATTTTACACTATAACATTTCTTCATTTTTTTCAGACTGTATCTCTTTACTTTAGGTTGCAAATGTAAAACACATCTCAAACATACCAAAAAAAAAATCAACAAAATATATCTACACGCTTAGGTCACAAAATCAGTATATCTGGTCAATCTTGAAATATAAGCAGCTATGACTGTCCTCTTTCCCCCACCCTTCATGTTGTGCTTGCATAGTAAATTAAGCTATGAAAGGGTTAATATTTTTCAATCTAAAGAGCCCAGTTTATGCATTCTCTCTCCAGCTCATCCCTTACATGCTGCTGGACTTTGCACTGAGCAGCTGTGGCAGGAATTGGGTCAAACCTGTCTCCCATGTGCGCCTCGCACACTCACGAAACACATGCTCTCTCACTCACACACACACATGCACGCGTTGCTCATCATGCGGGTCAGCACATAAGCCCCCCTGTCTTCCAAGGGACCTACAACACTGCCATGATCCAACCTCCACGTCAGCAAAGACGTCAGCTCCGGGTGGCTGAATACAGCTCATAAACAAGAGCACAGCAGTCACAAACACAATGATAAAGCATAACACGCACCTCAGCTGTCAGCAGGGACGAACCATTCATCCAGCTAGAGCCATAACTGCTCCAAGATGTTTATCTGACACACTGAAACAAATATAGAAGTAGTGGCGACGTCACCTGAGTGAACACGGCATTTAACAGATAATGAATTAGCCATGTTTTATGTATACAGCCAAAGTTTAATGGATACATGTGTGAGTACAACTGGTGACTGCCAAATAAGGCTTTGCGTATTCTCAGAAAAATTGACATTATTTGGAGGTTTCCGATGGTTTTGCTGACGCTGTTAATTTGTTAGATGTGAGAACAAGAAGAGGCTGCTTGTCGGATATTGTCAGTGGTGTTTATGCTCATGTATGGAAGAACATGACATTAATTCATGGGTTGGAATCATTTATAGGAGGCAGCAGTCCATAGTGACCCACCCTATTATTTATTAGGCCTGGATGCGCAGTGCTTTAAGGCTATTTTTACTACACATAAAACCTGTGGCAACAAGCTGATCTTAGTTGATGAGGAAAGTGTGCGCATGACATACATTAATGTTCTCCTTGACCATTTCATTCATTTCATTGACATTTTGTTTGAAATGACAATGACATTTATGAAAATAGGTTCCATGCTACCTCTGCAAATAGCTGTCTTTATTTTTTCCTTCCTATTAACAGGATGCTCTTGTATTTGATTGCAGATTGCGATGTCTTGTAAAACAGCTGGAGCGGGGCGAGGCCTCTGTCGTGGACCTGAAGAAAAACTTGGAGTATGCAGCTTCTGTATTGGAGTCGGTGTATATCGAGGAGACGCGGTAACGTCAATACCTCAAGTTCTCTGCATCTGTGATACAATAAGGGTTTAAATTGAGTGGTCTCAAAGGCTCTTGTCTGCAATGATTGCAACAACTGGGTTACCTTTCTGCCGCCTCTCTTCATCTTTAGTATCGTGGAAATGCAGTCATGTATGGCTGAGGGCCAAAGACATAAGGCCAAATGTAAATGTTATTGAGCGCTCTAAACAAAACCAGTGGCCAGCCATGCTCTAAGCCTCAATGTTATGAGATGGAAGGGAGACAAGTGAATGACTGCATGTGTTCTTTGTCCTAATCTGACCACACATCTCTTGTTGTTTTCTCTGTGTGTCTTCACCACTTGTGTGATCTCCCATGCTTGGAGCCGTCTTGTCGTGAACTGCCTTGGATGTGATTTAAAGTGACATGAGTTGTCTGGTCATTCCCTGCAGACACTGATCACCTCCTCTCCTCCATGTCTATATGTGTTTGTGTGTTTGTGTAACCTCCTGCAGGCGACTGGTGGACACAGAGGATGAGCTCAGTGACATCCAGTCAGACTCGGTGCCCTCAGAGGTGCGGGACTGGCTGGCCTCCACTTTCACGCGGCAGATGGGGCTGATGCTGAGACGGTCGGAGGAGAAGCCACGTTTTCGCAGTATTGTCCATGCGGTGCAGGCTGGGATATTTGTGGAGAGGTGTGTGGAAGATGCTAATTTAGCCTTTAAGGGGCTATATCCTACATTTTTCTTGTAATGTATTTATTTATTTCCCCGAGGTTCATTTATAAACTGTGTGGGTTTATGTCCTAAAAACATTGAATTAGAATTAAACGGGCTGTTTTTTTTTTTTACTGTACCCTTAAGACTGATATATATAAACAATCTCTGTTCTGATTGGCAATCAAAAATCATCATCAGTCCAGGCTGAAACACTTATAACTTCAACATGAATGGGCAGGGTTAACCTGCTGAAGGCTGAATAGGCGGACATGCAAAGGTTTGGGAACCCCTGGTTAAATAACATGTTTTGTTAATGAGTGAAAATAAGTGCACATCCTCTATAGACACCACACTTTTGCACATTTTAATACAGAGTTACTGTTTATTTGCAGGATTTAACATACTGAGGAAAAATAAATCATAAAATGTGTCCTGTGCAAAAGTTATGGCGCATTTTATACTATATGCTTTATTTTCTTCCAACATGTTAAACTCTACAAATAAACAGATATTGTGCACTAAAATTTGCACAAAAATTATTCATATTCATATTTATATTTGTTCCTTTTCATGACATCACAAAAATAATTTATTCAAACCAAACAGTTATTGCAGCATGGTTTCCATATATGGACTTTAGAATGAACGGTATGTTTTCAAACTTGTTTACATCAAACTCTATTATTTAATAAAAATATGAAATATTTGGTTTTTCATTTTTACATAATGCACAAAGGAGTGATGCACAAGCACACAATTTATGTGTCATGTACATAGAAAAATGCAAAATTTATGTTTCTCTCTCATACATATGCATTTGAAGGAGGATTGTGCAAAGCTTTAGAAGATCAATCAATAAATGGTTGGATATATTGGACATGCTGACAAACTTATTACATATTCCATTCAGTTCACTGAAGTTTGGGCAACTACCAGCAGTATGTTTTTGTGACACTTCCGCTGACAATGGCAGGGATCATAGTAGCTACATAGAGGCACAGGCCTGGAGGAGCTGATAAAAGAATATTTGCCAATAGAATAACAGTATTTCAACTCTCAGCACCAGGTGTACAAATGTGCAAAGATGCAGCACAAAATGTGCCTTGATGCGGCTGCAATGTGCAAAATACAACCCGTGTTTTTGTAAATAAAGATTTTTGTTTTTTTTGCCTGAAGAAATGTTTGGGTGGGGAACACTAAACTTGTACTTTTTCTTTTGTCACATTCGTTGATGGCTACACTGTTTTAGATGGGAACCTTATTAATCCCGAAGGAAATTTACATACAGCTTAATACAACAGAGTTAAGTATACACTCAAAAATGTAATATTACGTGCAATAGAAATTATTATATATATCATGTAACTGCACTAATATATCCCCTGGACTAAAACATCCCCTGGACTATAGAAATGCATATGTGTATACACATAGGCACGCATACACCTATGCATTATATATAACTTAAATACTCAATACTCACTATCCCCCCACCCCCGTTGCAAAAAGTTGAAGAGCCTCATGGTTCTGAGGACAGAGGATCTCCTGAGTCTTCCTTTTAAGCAGCTCTGTGAAAACAATCTGCCACTGAACATACTCCTCTGCTTCATTATGATAGTGTGCAGTGGGTGACAATCATGAAAGAAAGCAAGTTATCTAGGGTCCTTCTCTCTGCCACCGTCACCGGAGAGTCCAACTCCATGCAGACCACTGAACCAGCTTGCATGGCTTATCCAGCTGCATTGAGTCTCTCTTCTTAATGCTGCCTCCCCAGCACACCACAGCATAAAAAAGAGTACTGGCAACCCCAGACTGGTAAAACATCAGCAGGAGATTCTTACAGATGTTAAAGGACCCTAGCCTCCTCAGGAAATTGAGCCAGCTCTGCCCCTTCCTGTATAGAATGTCTGTGTTCTCTGTCCAGTCCAAAGTACTTATAGGTCCTGACCACCTCCACATCAGCCCCCTCAATGGAGACTGGTTACGGGAGTGGCCCAGACCCTCGAACGTCCTCCACCGTCTTCTTGGCCTTGGATCTGTTCAGCTGCAGTTGGTTCAACTGGCACCATGGAACAAAGTCTTCCACCAGGCTCCTGTACCCCTCCCTCCTGTCCACTCCTAACACAGCCCACAATGGCAGTGTCATCCAAGAACTTCTGTGGCACATCTCAGTATGTACCTAAAGTCTGCTGTGTAAATAGTGAAGAGAAAAGGGGACAGCACCCAGTGGAGGAGGTAGAGGATGGTGTCATCTACACCCACCTTCTCCTGGTAGGCAAACTGCAGGAGGTCCAGTGCATGTCGAAACCGGGGTCTAAGGAGATGGAGGAGCAGTCGCTCTAGGGTCTTCATTACATGTGATATGATGTGATACTACACCTTTTAAACTGCATATCAGGCTCCAGTCTTGGTTTGCCACAGCACTGCAGAGTTAAGCTTTCTGCCTCACAGCCAGAGGTGGATTTAGTGATTCTGCAGCTTTAGGAAAAAGATTGGACTGGGACCTCCTTCGTGCACATATTTAAGTTAGATGCTCTGGGCTCCTGAGTATAGAGGCACATCAGAAGCAAAATAAGTACAAATGCATGTAAGGTAAACTCCATTTTAATGATCATTTTGACACCATTATTGCATAATCACATGAAGCATAAATACACATTTTAATTTAAACAAAGCTAAAGCATCTAAATCTCCGTGTAAATGAAATGTCGGTACTGGTGTACCAAATGGCAAATTGCAATGGTAAAATTGAATTTGAGTTTTCATTTTGAGCCGTAAGTTGCATATATGAGTGGGCCAATTTAAATTGAAACGCAAGAATACATTGCCATTTATATATTACATTTTAATTTTGAAAAATATTATTGTGACATGACATTGCAAAAATGGTATTGCAGTAGGTGAAATCATCATCCTAAATCTAGTTAATATATCTAATATTACTCATTTTAAGATTGTAGTAAAATATTATTTTAATTATTTCTAGAATTTTTTTGTTTATCTACTTTTATTAAGTGAAATGGTCTCACTATAATGGCACATCATTTTGCTTGTTTTAAGAAATGTGCTTGAAAGAAGTTAAATTACCTGCCAATATAGTGAGATAACATGGGATAGAGTAATGTAATGATCAGTCAGATGGCTTTTTTCCAGGAAGCAATAAATAACGTAATCCAATTTCATTTTAGAGAAGTTATTACTAATTTGTAATGGGTTACATTTTTTGAGCGATTAGTCCTGGAGCTGTCTGTGCTAGCATTAATGCTAGCTTTTAGCTTTAAGTATGAAGCGACAAACTTCTTAGTTTCCTTCTTTTTTTGGGTTCTCTGCAGTATTTCTGAATGGGTTATTTACCATCAGAATGTACCGTACATTTAATTTGTATTTTTATGGGGCCCTTGGCTCCCTATTTTGCCTAGTGCAAAGACTGCCCTGCTCACACTTAAATGTATCTGATTTAACTCATCAGCTAATCAGAACAGTCTTCATTATTTAAAATTCCTTAAAAAAGTTTTAAACACTGCACTTCACAAGCATACCACACTTAGTAGATAATTTTAGGCACAGTTTGCATGATTAGCTACAGACTTAAATTGGCACTAATTTCACAAGTGTCATGAGCCCATATTGCAGCTGAATCAAGGCACTTTTTGCACTGTACCGTCTTACCTTAGTGCATCTGGTCCTCAGTATCACAAAGGGAACAGAAGCAAGTCTTCAAAGTGTTTTTCATATAGGAACTATTGCATTACAAAGTATAACGTACTGAAGTTTTATGTCCATTGATGGAGAATTGATACAGAAAAACAGTAATGTTTATGTGATGTTTTCTGTGTGGGAAGCCTCCCTCTGTGCTGCTACTTTTTAAATGTTAATTCCTCCATCTAGCTCTACCTAAACAGGAGGTTTTTCTGCTCTTTCTCTACCTTTATCCCTCTCTACATGTGCTCTGCCACTTACCGGAGTGTGTTATCTTTCTGTGACAGGATGTACCGCCGGACGTCCAACATGGTGGGATTAAGCTATCCACCCAGCGTGATCACAGTACTGAAGGTACTAGTTTGGGCCACAGGCTGACTGACACCTCATAGAGCAGGCACTGGACAGCCCTCTTTTTTCCTACACATCACCATACATAAGCTCTGAATCAGTAATCATAAACATTTTAAACACGAAGGCCCCATATTGGCCCATACTTGAGTTTTTCACTCTCCCAACCACATAACATATGCATTATTTACATATTTATTGCTGACTAATCAATTGTAGTTGCTAAATAGTAAGTCTTGAAGTGAAGTTCCACTGATTTTTCAAAATGTCTGCATAATTCAGTGGTTGAGATGTAAACACAGACATTCAGAGTGGGTTGACGTGAAAAGGTTAGTTTACTCCGAATTACTTTGTTTACATCTTAACTGTTTAATTATGCAGACATTTTCAAAAATTGGTGGAATTCTCCTTTAACATTACAACTGAATTTTAACCACATACTATACGTAGTGCTTTCTGTCAGCTTGTGTGGAAAATAGCTGCTCATCTGGGAGATGACAGAATTGCAGCCTCTGCCGTGCAAACAAACCTGTTTAATCAGCCAAAGTGCAGAATTGATCTTTCCCTTTACCACCTGGGTTATATGAAATGTGCACGGTGAGGCAGAGGTTGAGGAACGTTCATCTATACTATAGATAAATAACAGACATTATGGCATACAATAAACACTGGGTACTCTACACAGACTTCATTTTCAGCTCAAGCTTAATGACTCCACCCACCCAACCACGGAAAAAGCCCTGTAGCACATTCTGACATCATATTTAGATCAATACAGCATTATCTGCATCTGCCAGGGTTGTGTGCTTTGAGTTTCAGTGCTCTGAACTACTTCCCTGATGTTGTCCAGTACAAACACATCAGTGGGTTTGCCTGGTTCAGACTTGGATTGGATATGAGTGTTTTAGGCAGTGATGTCTTACTGCTTGCTCTGGGCTATGAGTAGTGGATCTAATTCTCTAGGCATCAGCAATAGAGCTGTGGTGCTGCCGTGAGTCTGGCCCCCTCCTTCAGAGACCCCAGGGGCCCTCTAATCCCCTCTCCACTGACAGAGACTGAGAGCAGGAGAAAACTTCCAATTTCAAAATTTAAATCTTTAATGCCCCATATTTCAGATGTTCACTGTGCCAGCCCTGTCAAAAGTATACAGAACTTTATTTCAGAGCAAGGGGGAAAAAAACGAGAGAGGGAGGAAAGGGAGAAATAGTTCAATAAATTAGCCACAGGCATGCGTGGTGTAGCTCTGTTCTCGTACATTATTACTGGAATTCATTTAACGAGTCTAGCAGCTCCTACAGGGCTTTCATAGAATATGTTCAGTCAGGGCTTTGTCTCTCTCTCACTCTCTCTCTCTCTCTCTCTCTCGCTCGCTCTGTCTTTCCCTCATGTTGACTGTAATGATGATCAGCTGGTGTGCGGAGACACATTTCACTTTTATAAATGTATATCGCTGCTGTCGTAACAAAACCTCATATTGCTGACATTAAAACTTTATAGGAAAAGGACAAAAAAAAATAATAACTTTAGTCTATGTTAACTCCTTAAAATCCCAGGCTTATTATTGACTTACTACAGGAAACTGGTTGGGCTATTCTTAAGTTATAAAAGTGTGTAATAAAACTTCGGCCCAATGGAGGCCCCCTGGACATTTTAGGAGCTGATGTCAAGATTTTATTACAAGTAATTTTGTACTGTTTTTATTGGTCTATTTGTCATTTCCAGATTGTGTAATAGTAAATGAAAAGCAGTGAATGAACTTACGAAGACTTGCAAGGTTTTAATATGACAGCAACAATATATTACATGATAATAATGGGATCTTACTGAAAATCAAATCATCCCATAGGACACAACTCAATAAGAATACAAAACTCAATAAGATAACCTCTTATTTTTAAACATTTGATTGTGAAGTGAATGAGAAATTGTTCCTTCATCACTCATTTCATAATCATATTTAATCAAATATTATCCTCACATTACTGCAACATTTTTGCAGTAAATACAGACCAGAGTTTAAGTGATTGACATTTTAGCCTCTAATAAGAAAGTCCAATTCTCTTTTTATTTCAGCACGTGGATACGTGGTCATTTGATGTGTTTGCTCTGAATGATGCAAGTGGAGACCATGCACTGAAATTCATATTTTATGAACTTCTCACCCGATATGACTTAATCAATCGTTTCAAGGTAAGATGCTGACAGTGAGCCCCACTGTCTTTCACATGTTCTGTATATGTAGAACTAATAAGTGTGGGTAGTTATTTAATATACATATCAAATGTATGTCACTCAAACAACTTTAATGCTAATGTTGTTTGAGTGTCATGAGTTAGATTTTATCCAAAAGTTTGATTTACAGAATTATAAGAATTAATACATATACATATCTAATGTATATTACCCAAACAACATTATTACTAATTAGATGGGCATTTTTGGGCCACTGCTTTACAGCATGTTGGGTCAACCACAAATATAGTTGCATGTTCTATACAATCACTGTCATATCAAACCTCCTATAATTCAAACCTTTCTCTCATCACTGTACATTCAAATAAATATTGTTTTTTTCTACTCCTATAAAATGATCATTTCAGAGATATCAGGTTTAGTTATGACAGGGATAATATTTGTCCAAACCAAGCCACAAGTGTGCATATAGAATTTAGTTCATAAGTCTTACCACAGTTCTCTTTGACACACAGAATTGCTGAGTGATATATAGACATCATTTCCGTATGTCTGTGCTACTTTAAAATCTCCTCAGATCCCCATTTCTGCATTGGTGTCATTTGTGGAGGCTCTGGAAGTGGGCTACAGCAAACACAAAAACCCCTACCATAACCTCATTCATGCAGCGGATGTCACTCAGACTGTACACTACCTTCTGCTGAAATCTGGCATGGTGGTGAGTACAGCAAGTAAAAAATACTGTCTTGAAAATAAAGTTCCTGAATGTTTATTCACTTATCTTTAAAAAACCCAATGTGGTTCTACTTTGGCATTGCTCCAAAGAATACTTTTTTTTTTACACATTCATATTTAAGAATGTACTGTGCCTGTGTTTGTGTGGAGGTGAAGCTCCTGCTGTTTTTCATTAAGGCTGACAGTTGAATATATGGCATGTGGAGGGGTGCCTCAGTGGGGTAGAGGGGGCAGCATGAGCACTTCACTCCAACCTCATCTCACTGCTCAGGCACCGATCGATTAGGAGTTAATCTCCGTCTGACTCCCTCCAAATCAGCCCTGGCACTGCTAGAATAATGCTCATTAACCCCTCAATGATGTGTGCTGCCATCATATGGGCATTCACTAGAATGATGATGTTGCACTGAGTGTTATGTGCCATTGTTTCAGGAGTTTATACATCAAAAAAGCACTGACTTTGTGGTATGAATGTATTATTCACTTCGCAGCTTGCTGTTGCTCATGTTATTAAATATTGTTTGTATGTTACTGTTAAGCTACAACCCTTAAATCAAACATCAGCCTGCCAGAAATTCCCCAGGCTATACCGTGAGACATCATGACAGTAACAGCTTATTGCTTTAAGACATTTTATTGTGCTTTTCAATAGAATTTCTGTTGAGCTATTAAAGGTAATGTGCATCAAAAGAGAGAAAGGCTGAGAACAGAAAGCAGAAGAAAGGAAAAATAAGAGCTCCATCATGTTCACATATTAATGACTTTGGGGGTTTATTTGCTTTTACAGATGTATTTTATAGCTGTAGGGCCATACAAAGCTTGTAACTACTGTGCTTCTTTTCTTGCAGCACTGGCTAACAGAGTTAGAAATCTTCGCTATGATATTTGCAGCAGCAGTACATGATTACGAACACACTGGGACCACTAACAATTTCCACATACAAACCAGGTATCATTTCACTGTTACTAATGGTGGAATTTATTACAGTATCAGCTGTGTTTCGGTCCTAATATATGACTGGCTGTGTCTTATGTATTTCATTAGATCAGATTCAGCCATATTGTACAATGACCGTGCCGTGCAGGAAAACCACCATGTGAGTGCTGCTTATCGACTCTTACAGGACGACGATGAGATGAACATCCTCTATAACTTATCAAAGGATGACTGGAGGTGAGAGGATAGAGTTTGGATTGACCTGTCAATGCTCTGCACACAAATGTGTTCTTCGGAAGAAGTTGTTGCAACATTTGACAAGTTTTATAGAATGCAGGAAAAAATAACCAGTCAACCAGTTTGAGTTTAAATTCACAACATAATGCAGCGTTTCCACCCTGCTGAAAAAAACAGAACAGCATAGATTCTATTCTATATTCTTTGGCTGGTCACCTGGCATGGTCATGCTGGTTGACAAGCATACCAGCATCCAAAAACACAACATATGCTGGTTTTGCTGGTGACCAGCATGTTTAAAATGCTACAGTACTGAGCTGGACTGTGTTGATGTAGCTAACTGAAACTAGTCAGGTTCGAAATGGCAACAGATTTGCTGCCATGCTAATGTAGCTGAATTACACAACACAAAAAAACCTAGGCCCAATGTATCCTAACAGTGTAAGTACAAAATAAATATAATTTGAATTAACACAATTAATACAGTTACTGCAGTTTCTCAGTAGGTTGAATGAGATGTTTGTCAAAGCTTATCCAACCTCAAAACAGTTTCTTATGAAATGATATGTTTGTAGGTGGAGCATAGATAGGTCAATCGTACAGTACAGGTAAACTTAGACAAGCAGTTGTTTTAAGTCTATTCTTTCTCTCTCTCTCTGCCTTTAGAGAGTTACGGGCCCTGGTGGTAGAGATGGTTTTGGCCACAGATATGTCCTGTCACTTCCAGCAGATCAAGGCCATGAAAAATTTCCTCCAGCAACCAGAGGCGTGAGTGTTTTACCACGGAAGTACTAATATCAGAACAATGCCATGCTGAATGCTGTGAGGAGCTCATTAATTCTGATTGTCATCTGTAGGATTGACAAACCAAAGGCCTTATCCCTGTTACTGCACACTGCAGACATCAGCCATCCTGCCAAAAGATGGGAGTTACACCATCACTGGACCACCTCTCTGCTGGAGGAGTTCTTCAGGCAGGTTAGTATCCTTTTGCCTTCTATTTATCAGAATACTGAGGCATGATGGGAGACCAAGTTCTGGCTAATAAATACAAATGTGTCAAAACTAGACAGGCACGTCTTAAATTCTATTTATTTGGAACAGAGTTCTGGAAAAAGTGGTTGGCATTTGATTGTCTCTAGCCAAGGTAGTGTTTTTCCAAATATTTATAATCACTTGTCCTTGCATTGTGTATTATAAGAACTTGCTGTTGGAGAGTAGGGGCAGCAAGCAATAAGCAGCACCATTTAATATGTGGTGGTGGTTGTGGTGGTGGTGGGGGGTCGATCACACACATATTACATGAACTCAGGAACACTGTCACCTTCTGGAAGTTGCAGCCTTAAGCAATTGCCTATGCTGCCTATGCCAGGAACTGCTACTTTTGAAGATTTACTTTACATATTCTAATGGTAATGTCACTGATTTTTCAAAATATCTGCATATTTAAATCTTTAAGCTGTGAACAAAGTCATTCAGAGTTTTTTGATGACAAATGCCATTCTAGAGAAACTTTCAGAGTTAGAAGTGTTCACAGTGGTAGTGATAGGACGTCCAAAGTGTTCAGTGTCTTTACAGAAAGCTATGGTTTGAAATGGTTTCAAAAATGTTGCCTGAGGTCTGAGACATTGTTTGATTATGATAGTTCAAAGACATAGTTTTGGCCTAAAATGTGCATTGTCGACACCACCACTGTAAATAGTCAGTAAGTTTCTCCATAATGCACCATTTCACATCAAATAACTCTGAGTGACTTGATGTTTCAACAGTTGAATTGAGTAATTGTTTGTGTTTGAGCAATAAAATGCAGAAAGTTTGCATAATCAGTGGAAAAGCCCCTTCATGACTTTAGTAAAAAGAAAGGGTTATTGGGAAAAACTTACCACATAAATTTAAAAAAAGAAAGAAATTATGAGATTTATGGGGTGGTTTATGGGTTTTTTTTTGGGATTTTTGTATTTGTTTGAGTATGTTGTAAATCTTTTTCTGTGCCAAACAAAAATAATATTGGATGCACTCTTTATTCAAAAGTGCGCTGTAACATCAGCCCGCACTGGCCCAGTCTAATTTCAAACAGTGCTCATCTGCACTCTTAGTTAGCAGTTTCTGTCTCAGTTGACATTCCACCCTAGTCTGCAAACCCTGGTCTATTCTGGATGTAAAAGTATGCACTGCAACCTAAAATGTACAGAGAGGGCAACATTCATATTGTAGCTGGGACATGAAAAATAAAAAAAAAGACCACACTACAAATTAGCAGAATAAAGGAAAACACAACAAAAAATTCCACAAGTAGTAAGGTAGTCTACAGATGTAGGACAGTCTCCTGCCTCACTCTCTGAAATTGCCACTTGCTCAGATTTCGGCTTGCAAAATTAGGGTTCCATGCTTCTCACCTGGTGCAGGCCTGACTGATTGAAATTTGTGCTGGTGTCTGTCAGGCTTGTGATCATTCTTATTGCCAGCAACACTGTTAATAGACCATGGCTGTCACTTTATGTGACATGACTGCTAAATAGATCAAAACATTTTAACTGTCACTGTTTTTGGGGGGCTGATTATAGAAAATGACTAAAAAGTGAAATTCCTTCAGTGTCTGACATTTATGTAGCTTTTTTACCAACATGACGTTACTTCAGTCTCACAGTCAGCTAGGTTGGAAATGGAAAGGCAAACCCAGGCATGTTGCCCTGCACTGAGCTGGCTCCTTTTAATCCTGCTGAGTTCCCTGAGTTCCAATTTCAGTGCAAACTAGTCAATCACAAGCACAGCCTTATTCAGGCATCACATACTATCTCATTCTCATTCAGCCATCATAATCCCTCCCCACTGTTTTATAATCCTGCTCTTACTTAATATCCACCAGCTACTCCAAACAGCTTCACTTCCAGTCTCATCTGATCTCAGACCATTCTTGATGAGCAGATTGACCAAAGGCTTTATCATTTTGGACCTGAGCCTACAGTATTTTTTACTGAAAAATGATAGTCTCACAGTCACTCAGAATGAATTGTTTTCTGTCAGTAGATCAGGATGGCACTAGGAGTTTAGTACAGTCTTCTCTGCTGATGTAAGAATAGCAAGACATGTATGAATTTTGCAGTGGAAGATGGAGAATCATCATTAAAAAAGAAGAAGGAGGAAAGCTTATCGCACTCAGTATCATACAGTTAATAGCTACAATACTTAATCGATTGCTAGCCAGATATATCTCTAGAAGAAAATGTACTGGCCCAGACTGTGTCCCCAGCACCCACGAAAGAATGCAGCTTTCTCTCCCACACCACAGTAACAGCAGGCTATTTTTCATTGAGCTTAATTTCCACCCAAATCAAAGTCCAATTTTGGCTCCAACTCTGTGTGATTCCAGAGCTGAATATTTATGCAAATGCGACAAACCAATTAACGTATCATTGGCTGAAATGAAATAGCATTTTGTTCCTGCTGCTCTTCTTAGGACTGTAGAAATTTGATTCATTGATGTGCAAAGGTATTGTCTAATCAGTCCATTCCCAGGTACACTACCACTAATCATATTAATAGAAATGTCAGGAGCAATGAATGAAACTGCTAAACAAATAATCTTCAACGTGAGCAAATTTATCTCTCGAGCCTGCCAACTTCACGCCATTCCCCTGAAGGTCAGCGGCGGCACGCAGTGAAGAGTCCTGTCAGCAAAATCTTGTATGAGAAATTAAAATATATTTGTTCAACAGTCAACTTTGTTTTGAGTTTACAGCATTATTACCTGTCAGACAGACACAGGGGATCACAGAGCAGGGATAATTAGAGTTATTGTTTTATAGGATAACAATGGCATTTGCTAATTAAATCAACAACTTTCACTAGAAAAGGCCATTGGGAATGCAGAGACAACACAGAAAGCATCAAGAATCAAGATCATTCATGCATAGTTGGCTTAGATGATACTAAACGGGACCTTCAAATTCCGTGATTGGTTGTAATTGATTGTAAATGACTCTTTGCTCTTTGTATGATCGCTCTACACCCTGACACTTTTTAGTGAAAGTAATCAGAGATTACAGAGTAACCTCTTTGTTTCTTTTAAAAAATACAAGGAAGTAATTTGGTAAATCATTCAGAGTTTTCCTTTTTTTACTATGAGTTCTGTCCATTTGTTCATGTCCAGCTTATGTAATTAATATTTCATCCTATTCTTTATACATTATCACTTTATTTCCAATTTGTAGTTGCACATCTTATCTATAACTCACGTTTACCTATGTACCTGTTAAACACAACTAAACTTTAAGTTATTTTAAATCTAACCCTTAACTTTAATTTCAAAGTAAAACCTAATCCTAAACCTGACCCTAACATTGTTGACAGTCAATTGAGTTTCACATCAGTAGATAATCTGCATAGGTCTAAAATAAAGTGTGACCCTTTTAACTCCTATCCATGCATAGTAACTGAGTGGTGCTTGTTTCAGGGGGATAAAGAAGCAGATTTGGGCCTGCCCTTCTCTCCTCTCTGTGACCGTAAATCCACCATGGTGGCCCAGTCTCAAATCGGTGAGTGAGTATGTACTGTCTGACCGCTCCACTCTCCTCTGGCCTGCATTTTTCTCCTGTGACAGCTGGACTCATAGCCCTGTGTCTTATCTCTCCCACCCACAGGCTTCATCGATTTCATCGTGGAGCCCACCTTCACCGTTCTTACGGATATGATTGAGAAAATAGTGACACCGCTCATTGATGAGGCATCGCGTTCAGGGCTGGCTGGCTTTAGACGCTCGAGGTGAGCTGGACTACTGTGCAGGCAGCTTGACAAATCCCAGGCCAGACTGTCTGAATGCAAATACTTAAGTCATTTATGCATCACATTCACTGAGCTAATGTACTAGGTGATATGCACTACATGGTCATGTGTGGATCTTTTTGACCAGCAGTAGTGGGGATTTCTGTAGGGTCACAACTCTTAGATAAATGGCAGCAGAGGTAGCAGCGTTTGAGTACAGACAGTGCCTTGACTTCTGTATCTGAGTGGTCTGGTAGTTGTTTGCACGTGGCTGAGGAGCTGAACAGTCATACATAATGAAGGATGTTTGTGTTCTTGTCTGGATTTATCCAGTGGGGTCATTAATCACCCCTGCATACACACACACAGGCCCACATGCTGAGTGCAGGTTACTTTTCCATGCACTTTCTCACATATGCAGCCTGTAGAAAGCTGTCCATGTAGAACACCACACACAATGAGGCATTTAAATATTCTGCCACATAAACATACCCACATGATCATCACAGTCGCTGTAAGGGATTACGTACATACACATCTCTCATTCTGTCAAGTTGCTAGTAGTTTTTGAAATGAGTTCACAGCTTTTTAGGTATAGCCAGATGTGGGTATAAACTTACTTTAGAGGACTTACTTCACATGAACACACTTGCAAGTGCGCTATAGTAACATTTATACAAACACTAGTATGAGCAGAGCTAATACACAGATAAGAAAGACTTGCGAGTACTTAAAAATGTGTGCCTTCATTCATTTTACGTGGAGCAAGCAACACTTGTGCCTAGAGAGCTAAGCTCTTCCAAATTCAAACACTTATGTGACTATGCAAGATTGATTACCATTAACAGAATCTAACTGCTGTTTCAGCCATTGTAGCTGTCCTGTTGTGTAGTGGAATCAGCAGTCCTCTTTCACAACGTGAATTCCCTGTACGCAGAGGCATATGCAGGAGTTTCAACACTCCCGTTCTAATTACATCTTTTGTTGATTTTGTAAGTGGAAATAAGTGAACACATCTTCTACAGGGAATTTCACATTTTCTGCAAATTTTAGTGCACAATTTTTCTTTCTATTTCTATTTCTGTTTCCATTTATATTTCTATTTTATTATTTATCCAAATAAGCAGTAATTGTGCAGTAAAATGTGCAGAGGTTTGTTCTCTGTAGTGGATATGTAAACTTATTTAACTTTTCACAACAAAACATGTAATTTGAGTGCCCAGACGTTTGCATATGACTATGTGACAGTGTATTTTACTGGTAAAATGTAAAATGTAACCTTATGGTGATTTGACAGAGATGTGGATGTGCGAGTAACGGACTATAAAGGCACCAATCAGAACAAAGGATGAACATTTAATTTAATGCACACAACAAAACTAACAATGACTCATTCAAGTACAAGATGCTTAAGTAAATGTAATGGAGTAAATGTAGCGTGTTTCTACTCACCTCTGGTTATACCTACTTTGTACATACACTCATGGTGCTCCCCTTCCATTGACTAATAAGGCAGAGGGTAGCTGGCAAATTGTGTATAGCAACAGATGGGCTATAGTCAATAGTTGTAAACCTACAAAGTGCACCTATATGTAAGATGTACATGATAAAACAGCCAATGAGTGTAGATACAAGGTAGACGTATCGAACAAACAGGCAACTCAGTGTACGTCAGGCACACGGGACTTAGCTACTAGGCTAGCAGTACTCTAATGGTGTAATCAATATAGAGATTGATTACATTAAGATAATTTGAAACAATTAAATTGACTGAAATAAATAATTCACAAAAATAACAATGAAAGACATGTTCATGAAAATTTTGTGTGCATGTGTCACTTTACATCCACAGCTTGAATAACATCCCATCAGATGGCAAGCGTCCCACCGTGAAGAGCACAGGCTCAGAGGGCAGCACCTCCCTTCTTAGTGTCGACTTCAAGAACTTCAAGGCAACCTGGAATGAGGAGGTGCAGCAGAACAGAGAGAAGTGGAAAGCTCAGGCAGCCAAAGGTGACCATACCAAAGCCCAGGCTAGTGAAGACTCACTTAGGTGGCAGCATCTACTGGGTTGAATGTTTCAGTTTAGAGATTACCTGGCCTGATGGTGTTCTGGAAACAAATACATTGGTGCATTAGGTTTATATGCGGCTTGTTCTCTCTTGTAGACCTAGAGGAGAAGGCCAAGAAGGAGGCAGAAGAGAAAGCCAAGCAGGAGGAGGCTGAGGGAAAACAGAACAGCGAGGAACATGCGGACACAGAGAAAAGAGACACAACACAGGACAAAGACAAGACTGAGAAAGAGGCAAAAGACACATCACCCGCTGAACGAGACAAAGACAGCAAATTGGAGCCAATGAACTCCACCAAGGCTAAAGCAGACAAGAAGGAGCCCACAGAGAAGCAGCCCAAAGAGGCAGAGGGCAATAAGGACCCAGGGGGGGCAAATGGAACTAAAGCAGGGCCTGTTAATGAAGGGGTGGATTCAAAGGAGCCTGACACCAGCAGTGATACAGACAACAGCCAGCAAGTTCAAAACGGTACGTGAAGTTACACATCTTCCCTGATCTAAATCTCTTTGAGATACTGTGTTTCTAAGCATCAGATCTAGAGTCATATGCAAAAGTTTGTGCTCCTTTGGTTAAATTATGTTTTGTTGATTTTCTAAGTGAAAATAAATGAACACATCCTCTACAGATAACACATTTCTGCACATTTTATTGCACTGTTTATTTCCTTAATTTAACATATTGGGAAAAACTAATAAACAAAATGTGGCCTGTGTGAAAGCCACATTTAATATTTTATGCCTTATTTTTACCAATATGATAAAGCCAGCAAATTTGCAGAAAAAAAATGAGGATGTGTTTACTTATTTTCCTTAGAAAATCAATAAGACATGTAAACTGACTTAGGGTGTGCTGACTTTTGCATACGACTGTAAGTATATTTATTGTTTATTTGATAGTGTAAGCAGCCCTTAACAATTCATAATGAATGACCAATAGAAATGGCCAAAAAAAACAAAATCTCATTACTTTAACTTACATTGAAAGTTAAGAATGTTTTCTTTCCTTCTACTGTAGTTACCAGCTTAAAGGTTTTCCTATGAAAGTGATTTGATGGTTGTGACATACTAAAACATGCTAACACACTTAAAACCCCATACATGTAATATGACTAATGATGGTTGTCATGTCTTTTTGGTGTTTGCACTTCATAGTGTAGCAAATAGTACAGGATTCTTCTGGATCAGGATGACAGATGGTTTGTACTGTCGAGGGTGTTTGTCTCACCTTTTGAGGCAGGAACAGTATTGTGTCAGAGTGAGGACAGTGTACAGTGGTCAGTATGTTCTGTAGTGACCTGTGTCTTATCTGAATGTCAGGGGAGGTGCCAGAGGAGCTGGACTCACCTGACAGTGATGACAGTGACACAAAGAGCTCTGACGGTAACACTAACACATTCTTCATCCCCTTATGAGTAGGGTGACCAGATATTCCATGGTTGAATAGTGGGCAGGGGAGTCGGGAGGGCAATGGAGGGTCACACAAATATAACTACATTTATTAGACTACATCTTTTTCATCTTACTCCTTTCTTTCACATAGGGTAGGTGGTGCACAGACCTACTTTTTGTAAACAGGGGCACATATAGGTTACAGGTTACTGCTCTGACATATGAACAGAAACAGAAAACCCTTAACAGAGCTGAGAAAGATCTTTTCTTGAAAATGTAAATCTTTCTAAAGGTCTTCATTCAATGAACACAAATGTCTTTAGACGTCAGGCTGTCATTTCTTCCTACATTGATTAAAAATCCTATCTTAGCGAGGTTAGCTTCTTGGAGTGTACTATCTCACTAGGTGCATTTTTATCAGGACCTATGATTGGCCAGGAGTTGATCTTACTGGTGATTATGCATATACTGCATGTGTTGTGTGCATTATTATTCTACACAATGTTCTAACAATGAACAAAGTGTTCTCTGAAATACAGCACAGATAAACCTTTTTGAGAGTAAGCCAGAACCACTAGAATAAAGCTAAAAAAAGAAACTATCCTGGGGAAATGTGGGACATCTGGTCACCTTATTTATGAGACAGCATCACACAGGTTCTCCACAAACATCAAGAGCAGAAGATCTCAAAATGTTTTAGCTGAGATGTAAGCAGCCAGTCATCTAAGCAAAGGAAGGAATGCTTTGACTTTTACCTGCTTTGTCATGGTGGAGAAACCTGTGTGATGTTACTGGTGGCATGTTCAGTCAGGTCATCCCCCTCCATCTACATGCTTGAAGGTATTCTGATGACAATTCCGCATGGTGCTCAGTTTGTTCACACAGTGTAGGATAGTCCAACCTCATTACCATCTACAAAACAGCAAGATCCATTCCCTGATGTGACAAGTACATGTTCAAGCTCATTAAAATGTGTTTGTAATACAATAACACCTCAATTTGTTGACCATTATGTGTGTTTCTATTATCATGGTATGCAACTCACAGCATCCTAATGACACTCCTATCATCTCCATCTCACTTCTCCACCCAGGGACTCAGGAGCAGGGGCTCATGCCATTAAATGTGCCATATATCTCCTTATTTCCACAGATGCCGATGAGGAGCACAGCAGTCACGAAAGCTCATCCACCTCTCTAGCAGCCAGTGCGCTTGCTGCAGCCGCCTCAGCACCTGATGCACACTAATCACTCTTTAATTCCCCAACAAGGACTCCGACATCTGAGCAAGCCTGCACCTTGGCTCCATCTGGTGGCCACACTGATGCTTTTGGAATGCATTTTTCCTCTTTTTCCCTTCCTTTTGGGATTTTATTTGCAAAAGGACTTTCTTTTTTTTTCTTTTTTGTTTTTTTGTTTTTTTGGTGTTGCCTAATTGTTCCTTGCTTTTACCGATGTGTCTTTATGGCTTCGTTGTTGGGCCTGGCATTGCGATGAGACTTGAAAGGGCACAGCATGGAGACCTTTTCATACTGTTAACCCAGTACAGGGTCATGTTAGCCAGCGTGTGTTGCCATAGATGCAGGGAGAGTCTGTTAGTGCTGAAGCCAGAAGGGAGCATATGGCAGCCTGGCCATCATGGTTTCCTCCCCAGCTGAGCTCTCCCTGGAGATGATACACACACAGCCCACTGCCCAGCCTTCAGCTCTATAGCTGCACGTGCCCCAGAGCTCTGTAGACACTGGCCAGAGAAGGGGGACAGACAGAGAGCCTGGAACAGACACACAGTCAGCTCGACTGGGCTTCACTCCCCACTGTAAGCCTCTTTCCATGGCAGAACCCACAGCTGAATGTTAATATTCATGTGGAAGAACAATTTGAAGAATGTCTGTTTATTTTTTTTTTTTTGTTATTATTATTATTAGTATTATTATTATTATTGCTTGTACTGAACTACTGGGTTTATATGCATTGAGATCTGTAAATATGCTGGTCAAGACTTCACTAGTTTACATTTTACATTTGACAGTGGAAATGTTTTCTCTTTTTTAGATGATTTTCTGAGGGGACATTTGGTCATCTGATGAATCATGCAACATTGCCTATATAATGCTACTTCCATCATAAAACATTCATTTTTGTTTTTATTTTGCTCTAACTGTAATAAGCTCAGTTTGTAAGACTGAAAATGTATAAACTTGACAGATGCCATTCAGTTGACATTACCACTTCTATTTTGCCAAAATAATTTAGACTTAGATGGTACAATCTATATTGCTGTGAACGTAGGTTGACTAGAGAGAGATATTTTAATATATTCAGCAGGGCAATCTGACCTCAAAATATAATGACCGAACTTGTGGCCATGTGTCCATGTCTCTGGTATGGTAGGCTACATTGGATAATGCTGTACAAGCTGCAATGCCTATAGCCTTTTGCTCCACCCCTAGCTGTTATAATTTTCAGTTGATCAGGACTTGTAATATAATAGATGTACTTTCTGATTTGAACAGTCAGTTGTATTTTTTGAACATTCTGTATGTATTTACTGTATATAGAGAGGGAAATATTATTTATAAACAACCGTGTACAGGTATAGTCATAATTTTGAACATTGCAGTCAACGATGAACATTAGACTTTTTATGCCATGGATGGTTTGCATCATTGCAAATTCATTCTCTTTCACCAGGTATGTTTGATTTAATTGGGATTTGGGAGGGATGCAACTTTCTTTTTTTTATTTTCATGTGCTTGGAGATGCTTCTCCAATCTTCCTCAGACTGTTTTATTATGTTACAACCGTATGACGCAATTAATCAAATCTTTGAGCACATGAGCTGCCAACACTTCTGCTCTTTTACACCCAAGCCATAATGATTGAGTTTTTTTTTGTTTTCTCTTGAATTTAATATCTCGTTGTGTAAAGTCTAAGCAGCCTTTCTAAATACCATACTGACAAATTCATGCATTGAGGATACTGTCTATTAGGAACAAGTAAAAATTATCCGTACTAAAGGTGACTGTAATTCAAAGCACATACTAATGGTGCTGGGTATTAAGATGTAAGTAAAGTGGAGCAGTACCAGAATTAATGGGGGCAGTCTAATCTAAAAAAAAAAAAGCAAATATTTTAAAAGATACCCCCGGACAGCACAAATGCCATACATACCATATATGCCATAAAAGTGTTTCTTTTTGGTTTCTTTCTTTTCTTTTCTTTTATTGGTAGGGTATTTTGAATAGCTAACAAAATCACTGTGTGAAATATTGTTGCCTTGACCAAAGAGATAGATTGTTATTTTGATTATTTAATTGTTCCCAAACTAGCACAAACCATGATAGAACATGAATCAGAAGAGTCATGACATACTGTGCAAGTCTTTATTTTTATGAAGGTTATTATGCTTAAAAAATAATTGTTGCCTTAAATCCATCATTTTATTGCACCACTGACATGTGATCCTTCTGGACCTCAGTGTAGTATCGGGTGTTTCTTTTCAGTTCGTCTTGGAGAGAAGTTCTTCAATAGAATGTTTACTGGTTGTTAGACTTATTTCTATGCCACCCTTTGTATCTATTGCGTGTTATGAGTACAAATATTCTGCTTAATTTCTATCTGTGTGCTCAGTGATTAGCCATGTTAAATCTGATTAGCAGGTGACCGTGCATCAGAGCAGCCATTGCCATCAAGCTTTTTTTTCTGTCTGTGACAGTCTATAATATGGTCAAATCTAAATGTAAGCTTTGTAGTGAACACACATCTAATTGTTCTTGGCCCATTGACAGTTCTGCTGATATTAAATGTGAGTGAAATCATTTTTCCTCATATCCTGACACCAGCAAACTTAAACGGTTGAAGTAGAGCTGGACATCATTTTGAATTGGTGACATTTATGCTCAGTGTTGCTGCTGTAATTGAATGGCTAATACAAACACTCTGTTTCTCTTGACTCTAACGGTCATTTTAGAGTAGTATTACATTGAGTGGGGAGATGAGTGCAGCACGGCTAGGCCTGTGTTAACTGCAAAGCATGTGAAGCATGTTTCTGTTTGCTTACAAACCACTAGCGCCACCAGAGATCAGTTACAATAAGCAGCGTCAGTTAAATATTCAAGAAGAAATGTTGTCAAGTCTAAAACAGCAGTAAATATGGTACAGTAAAATATTGCCTTAATGAATTTCTGTTCTTAGTTCTGCTTTGTACTAGCAAACTGCCAGATGTTTAGAAAAATTTTAAATTCATATGTATGTTACATGTCTGTCAACCGCTTTGTTTTGGTCATAGCTCTGTTTTCCACTTTAGACGTAAGAGCAAATTCTCTCAAACTGAAAAAGGGGATTGATCTGTAATAGAAACTAGATCAGCTTAGTGTCAAAAATGAAGGGTGGACTAAAAAAAAGTATCAAGGTCAGATTTGTTTAATTAACAGGATGTTTTATAGCTCAGTGCCATAAACTATAAGTTGTCTTGTGCACTGCACTGTTAGACATAGTACATTTTTTCTGATGTTCCTTGATGTTCCTGCCCAACATTTGTTTTTCATATTCATTTGTTCTATACTGTTTTGTGCACTCTTCCCAAGATTTTATGATATACAATTATGCATTTATGTGTGTCTTTGTGAGGTTGACACCTAATCATACATTTACACTCCTCCTTGTTGTCCTGTTCAAACCCTTTCTTTTGTTATTAAGGGAGGAAAATGATCACAAACCAAGAGAGACGTGGTGGTGTGATCGCATTTGTTCCGATGCTCCATTATTGCACTGTTGTGACAATAAATCTGAACTCAAAGGGCTCAGATGATGGCTCTGTGTCTTTATTTAGCTACTTTAGTGCTGGATTCCTGTATCTTTTGTCTGTTTCTGTGCATAGCATGGTGAGATATATGGGGCAACGGCAGAAAATCTGACCATAAACTAGAAAGACTTAAAACTTTATACTGATGCTGTCATATCAAAACCTCATCACTTCATTTTTTAATACTAGTTGGAAAAACCAGCTGCCCTTTACATTGTATGGACATTTCATGATTAACAGACTGATTATCCAAAATGATTTGGAATCCTATTGCATTAATTTACATTAAAGTTGAGAGCTAAGTGCAAAGTCACCATAGCGGTTTTGTAGTGACAGCGACAAAATACTTCATGCATCACAGATAAATCCTCTTTTGTCTAACCTGGAGCTCTTATGTGTTGCAGGTGTGAAGAAGAGGTACCTAATCCGTTACACTAAGAGACCCAGCTACTGTGCCAGTTCTTACCCACTGCCCAGGCAGAGGGGAGTCGAGAGCAAGCTTACTGATGCACGGAGCAAAGCCATGCATCTACAATGCATTTCTCTGAGACGCGGGAGGTGACCCCACACAAAGCAGCAGGATGTCAACTGTCTTATATGTGCTAATATATTTACAAGGCCATTCAGATCCATAACAAAGAAATGTATAATGTATAAGTTGGACCGCTTTACCGCCGCCATAAAGCTCTTAACACACACACGCACATACACAGTACATATATATATATATATATATATATATATATATATATACTATATACATATATATATATATATATACACACACATACATACACACATACACACTTGAAAACACATTTGCTGCCCTTTATATTGATTTCTTGAACAAATGGACCAATCAAAATGGAAAATTTAGAAACAGTTTTTCCTTTACCCATAAAGGTTTTGTTACAACAGGGAGGATTTAGCCCATCAAATATGCATTTTGTTACAACATTCATAATAAAAACTCTTCAACAAAACATTTTTGCAGAAAATTTGTATTTCTATGTCATAAATCTCTGAGACATGGAAAAGTAACCACAAAATTTCAAAAGATTCATTACGACAGATGTGAACACATGCAGAAGGCGATAAAATGTAAAATAAATATGATGCATACAACACTTTCAAAGTCTAAAAATACATCTATTTCTTTGCCTCCTTTTCTTCATCCTCCAAGTGAATCAAGCGTGGTTCTCCTTTCATTAACCTTACCCCTGGAGGGAAAAGGGTCAAAAATAGCACTTGTATTACAATACCATGTAGAATAAGTGAAGAAAACTGGTGAGTTTGGTAGAAGATAAAGAAAAAGTGTACCTGGTATGAGTGGAGGGGAGTTAAGGACAGGCGTGTCTTTCCTGCGTGGCTTCTTTTGTCCCAGTTCGTCCTGCTGATTGTCCTCAGTGCTGTGCTTCTGTCTGTCCATCTCACTGCCCTCATCTGTAGGGACACGGAGAGGCAAGAGGACTTTAGGATAATGTACTCAAAGACAACAAATACTGCTTCCACACCCACAGACAAGGGCTGGTGTGTAAGAGTTAGCTCGCCATCTGTCTCAGCCTTTGTGCTTCTCAATGAATCCGTCTCCCATTCCAACACATTCTCGCTTTGTTTTTTTCCGCTTCTTTCTTCAAAATACTCAGGTTTTACCTAAAATAGTTACCAATACTTGAGACAAGCAAACAGAATGTCATGTGTATGTACACACACTGTTACTTACAGGGATGCTCTTGCGTGGCAAGTCTGTGCTCTGCTGTCTCCGAGAGTGACCTCACACAGCCTGCAGACATGCTGACAGTTTGTTCACATATCAGATAACAGCACTCTCTCTCTCCCTCTGACTGCACCCACATCCATTATTTAGGCCCCAGTCAGTAGACTGGACTTTCACATACATGCATATATGCACACTTCGAAAGCACTATCACAAAAATGACCTTAAGACAATGGTATTATTGGTTAGTTATAATAATGTTCTAAAGAAACACTTTTCATAATAAGAAAGTAAAAATAGAGAATGAAGTTGATATTTTGATGTTAATAACTAAATCTAAATCCTAAATGTATATGCCAAACACTGACCATACAAAGACTGTATGATGAAAGAGAGAGCAAAACTTACCCCAGCAGTGAAGAGACGGAGACAGAGCAGAAGAGACTGAAAGGCCACTTCAAAGAGAGGGGTTATGTAGCATGGAGGAGGGGCTCTTAGTGACAGTTGTCACGGCGACAGAAGCCCTTATGATGTGTCGTGTATGAATATCAAAGAGTCCCTAATTAACCTATTTCAACAGTTTGAATTGCTATTTCAACATGTTAAGCTGAGTGGACCTTTAGAAAAAGCAGGGAGCATGGGGGAGGGGTTGGGGGGAGCGTGGACCTAGAGTGACGTAAAGGGAATGAATAGCAGGAAAAAATGCTTGAAAGATGTACAACGCGTTACGTAAAAGTAACTAAAATAGACATCTCTTTCACCGCAACACAGTCTCCCATCACTGTGTATTAGTAAATTTATCAACGGAACTCTTAAGATGAAGATAAGTGTATATAAATTTAATGGAGAATCTAAATCATCCATCAAGAGCACAATGAAGAGAATACTGAAGAGGAAATGTAATGATGGAAAGTATAATAATAAAAGATCAGCTAACATGTTTGTGCATTGTTTGCATATAACAAAGGGACAGCAGAGTGGAGTTTGGAACAGGGAGAAAGCTTTGATGTCTGATACAGCACTGAGATGTGAATGGTATTTACTCCTCTTCAGTGAAGTGTGTGTGTGGAGTGGTTCTGAATACGTCATCTTATAAATAATAAGAGAGGTTTTTTGAATAGAACAATAAAATCTGCTTTCAAAATCTGTTTGGTAGATTAAAATCCAATAATAATAATTATTATTATCATCATTATTATTATTATTAATTATTAATTATTATTATTATTAGTAGTAGTAGAAGTAGTAGTAGAGGTAGTATTAGAAGAAGAAAAAGAAGAAGATGATTTGCAATCCTAAAAAAGGCAGAATAGTAGGGGTGGGAATCTCTAGGCACCTCACGATTCGATTACGATTCAAAAGGCTGCGATGCGACTATAAAACGATTATTGATGTATCTCAATGCATCTTTTTCTTCTATATAGCATTTATATTTTCTCATTGTGAGCTCAAGTTTCGAGTTGAAGTTTCAAGTTTATTTGTCATTTGAACATGTCAACATTTATGCATTGAAATGCTTGTGGTGAGGCTCAGCTAATCACTCTACAGAAAGTAAATAAGTAAAAATAAAAATACAAGAAAAATCAACTGAAATATATTAAACATACACAAAATATATATAGAATGTAGAGACAATATACATTTTAAAGTGACTAAGTGACTCGGTGTTATTGTTATTTAAAGTGACTTGGTACTTTTAAAGCAAAGTATTTGTAACGATCCATAATGAATTTACTTCCAATATCTTTTTTAATAAAACAAATGGAAGTGATGTGGCAAGTAAACTAGACGGCTCTCATTCAGTGATTGAGAACCAGCGTGCAGACTGCAAGTCACATAGCAGCGATGCGTTATTCGCATTTATAAGCAGCGCAGTTGGTTTCCTGGTCCGTTAAATCTGCAACGAGAGACTGCCACACACTAAAAAGTGGCGAAGCTGAAGTCAGCTTCTCTTTCGAATTCTCCCGTTCCACCTTGGAACGGGTAAAATCGAACAAGCTTCTATAAAGCATTAGAAAGAAAAACATTTCTATAATTTTGCGTATGTACTGTATATAAATATATTTATAAATATACACTGTATATTTATAAGTATACCATATGTAAAGTTGCAAATATTGTGACTTTCTTGCTGTTTCAGTGCGGTTAGCCACTTTCTCATGATTAAGAATGAACAGAATTCATGAAGAAAAGCTGGATACCATTTTAATATTGTCATCATAAGCATGGACCAGATCAGTTAGCTGCTGCTCCAGCAACACTGCCTGTTTGACAGCTGTCCTCAGCTGGAGAAGCTGGAGAATAAGAAGCGACTTCAGCCTCGTAAAACAGTCGAACGTTGAGAGACATTTAACTGATCTACTTCTGAGGAAAAGTTTTGGGAGGAAAGTGGCTATAGCTAAAGCTTAAAGCGCAGCAAAGTAAATCTGTGTTTTCGTTTATATTGTTTAGCCTATACTAGGACATTATCACGTACTGAGACATACTGGACATTAAATGTTGTGGCTCCCAAGGGCGTTTGATTTTTGTTGAAAGGACAAAATGGCTCTTCTTATCATTTGTGTTGTGACTTCTGATCTAACCTGGCTTTAATGCAGAGGGAGCCGGTCGGATTTCTGGCTCATCCAGTTGTGTTTTTGTTATATGCCGCCACAGACTGTCCGGGCGCTGCAATTCCACACTTCCAAGTTCCGCCTTTTGCGTTCCGTCAACATTACGTTATAAATTAAATATTTAGAAAATCGATTTTTGACATTTGTGAATCGATTCAGATTCGTTCACATGCGCATCGCGATGCATCTAAGAATTGATTTTTTCCCACACCCCTACAGAATCGGGTAAATTCTTTTTTGTTACACATAAGCATGACTACATAACGTAATCATAACTTCAGTTACCAGAAGAAAAAGGTAAAAAAAAAAAAAGTTGATTGAAATTTCTGATGATGGGTTACACAGCCTACTTTGCGTGGGGCTTTTAGACCGGATGCATGTAAGGTTCAAAAATTTTGATCCATTTAATTTGTGTGAGATCAACCAAAAAATTTTGAGCTTATTTCATATTTTAAAGGGCGACCCATGTGGACAATGTGCACAATATCAGAACAGAAATGGTGTTCGTTTTTTACGTTGAATGTTCTTTATTGGTCGTAAAGATTTACAGCATGTCTCAGTGCATTACACTAAAAAAATAAATCAATTCATAAAATATTTTAAAATAGAAAACAAAATTAAACTGTAACTCCAAAATACTACACCACGGTGCAAATATTCTCTTCACTCTTGACACTGAGGAACTGAAAAAGAAAAAGAAAGCAATTAAAATAATATTTCTTTCATGTGAATTAAATTCTAAAAATGATTAAAAACGTTTATCATTAAAGTTAAGAGAATCACTGAAGCTGCACTGAACATTTAGCAAGTGAGAGAATTTATTTCACTGACACTAACCTTTTCATTCCAATGAGTCATTGCTGATGGATACATCCTTTAACTGAAAAAAAAGAGAGCAGTGAAAAGCTATTCAAGAAGGTTGATACAAATCACAGTCATCTGAAAAGAGAATGGGGGGCTTACACTTTTGATAAACCCCACAAAGTCCAGCTTGTCAGCCTTGCTGCCAGGGCTCCATTCATCATGGTGGGTGAGATTTGCATCTTTGGTGGCTTGCTGAAAGAGGCATGACTGTGTGGTGTCCATCATGGGCAGCAAGGAGCACTGAATGGCCACACTTCTCATGGAGATGTGGGCTGAGTGAGGTGTGTCAGAAGGAGTAATCTGCAACTGGGAGCACAACTGAGACTGCTCATCCAAAAGCCTGTTCAGCTTCTATAAAGCATTGGAAAGAAAAACATTTCTATAATTTTGCGTATGTACTGTATATAAATATATTTATAAATATACGCTGTATATTTATAAGTATACCATATGTAAAGTTGCAAATATTGTGACTTTCTTGCTGTTTCAGTGCGGTTAGCCACTTTCTCATGATTAAGAATGAACAGAATTCATGAAGAAAAGCTGGATACCATTTTAATATTGTCATCATAAGCATGGACCAGATCAGTTAGCTGCTGCTCCAGCAACACTGCTTCCTGTTTGACAGCTGTCCTCAGTTCCAACACATCCTGCACCTCTGCCCTGTAAGAGGAGAACACTTAACACCTAACTCCTTTTAACAGTAGCCATGAGACTGGATTTCTACCTGTTTTGGAGGTCTGCCAGTTAAATTATGGTTTTTTTTTTTAATAACACTAATTGAATATATTTAGACAGAAATTATTTTGACTTGGAACTGGATTTTTATCTTCGTAAGTGCGCAAACAAGTCAACATTTATAAAAATGTTTTTACTGTGTTCCTTTTTTATTGTGGCAGTTGAACATGAGCTGCAGTTGTGCAGTCCATGGAGAGGTGCAAATTGTTTTCACACCAGGTGGTTCTCACCCCTCCCTTTCACCCCGCATTGCTCACTAGCAGCTCAACACAACATCACAACATTTCACACACAGAGAGCTAACAGTGTTTTGGTTACGGGAAAATCTTTTATTTTATTGAATTAATGAAAAATATCCAAGTTGATTCCATTCCATCAGCAGAATGCCTACTAGGGGTTCTGCAGAAAGAGGCTAAAGACACCCTGAAATGTATACTACATAAAAATTAACAAGTAATCTGTCTTAAGTAACCAGTTGTAAATAAATATGTTTCCATTATTGCTTATAAATCTGCCAAGGTTTCATATAACCATAAGTTCCAGCCAGTATCATTTAAAAGATCCCAGAAATTGCACAAAAAAAGAAAGTCAGAAAGTGAAGAGCTACGTGTAAATCAAATGTATTCTATTATTTTTGTAATTGTACTTATTGTTTTACATTACATGTGCATTACATATTTTGCATATTCTACTTTTTACTATTAAAACCTGAAATCAAAATTGACCTTTTCTGCTGGTTTGTTCACTGGTCATATTAAGCACAATCCATCACATTTTTTGCGTGTACTCAGAACATCATCTTTGTTTTGAACTTAACACTGTCCACCAGCAGGTGGGGAAAAATCACATTAACTATTAATATAAGGTTAACCTTTCTTTTTCAGTCCAGTGGCATATGTCTGAGAAGAATGGCAGTGCTACCATACAGTACTAACCTGTGCGCATCTGACAAAGAGCTGAGCACTGACGTCTGCTCTTCTTCCAGCCTCTCCTCGATCTCTGATAACACCCGCCGGAACTTCCTCATACATCTCATCATGCCCTCCAATTCATCCAAAGAATACTGCAAAAAGAGAGAGGACAGAGTAAGACCGCGTGTCAACCACTTAAAGCTCATGCTCTTCTGTGTGTTAGCAAAGGGAGCTTTTATTGAGTGCGTTTACAAGTGAGGGTGAGTGAGCTTTGGAGTCTATGCGAGTGCTGTAGGGACTGCAGAAGTGGCCAGACATCTCTGATCCTGTCCATAACGCATGCAAATAGGCCATTCAAATGCAAATCAAATGCATTTATCAAAACCAACCCTTTAGACCTTTTAATCAGCACTAGCCTTAGAAAAGAGAATAGTTTTTTTTTCCTATTTTTTCTCTCCCTGAAGGAGACTCACAAAATTAGGGTGACCAAAAATCAACACAATGGATGCTGCTCTGATGCTGTAATCAAAGAAACAAGGGAGATTTTAAACTGCTTTGAGAGGGACTAGGGAAATGGAAGCAGATCCTCGACTAAATTGATTTTTGTCTGCCTCAACGCATCAAGTTACCCCAAATTACATTGGAGGAAATGTGAGCTTTGCAGCTTGTCTCATAAATTTGCCCTTGGGTTGGCAATCTATCTCAAAGCTATAATGTAACTCACTGGCAGACTGAAGGCTGTGTGCAGCTGGCCCATGGTGCCGGAGTGCTGCTTATGACCACTCTTGTTCTTGCAGCAGCAGCCACAGTTGTGGTCACAGGAGCAGCAGCACTGAGCGCCGGCCCACAGCGCCCCCTCCCAACGCCTGTCCTCATCGTATGACGTACCCATGTCCAAAGACGTGGAGCGCAACCGGAAATTCTGGAGGCCTCTAGAGCTCTCCTGAGAACGCTGGGGTGATGGGGTCACTAGTTGAGATGGTGTGGGGGTGGTGGGACCGCTGAGAGGGTCTGAAGGGTTGTCCACATCTGAATGGACCCTATGGGAGAAGGACTGTCTTCCATGTTGGGTGCTGCTAGGGGAGGTGGGCCCTAGGGAAGGGCTGTGGCTAAGGCTTCCTCTCAGGGAACTCTGGGAAACAGAGGCCAGGGAGGAGCGCATCTGTACAGAGACGGAACGTCCAGAGTACAGAGCCCCACTGTTTGTCTTATTGGCTTCTGTAGAGGAAGCTACTTCAGGTTCTGTAATGTCAGAGGGAGATGACCCTGTGTTAAAAAGAGGATAGTCTGATTTTAGTACCTTCATCCAAGAATCACCTTCTGGAACCACATCAGGAGGTGGATTTGGTGAGTTCTGTGCTCTGGTACTTTCTCCTGTGTAATTTTCAGTAATGTCCTTTTTTTCAACACTCACGTCTACCAAACAGTCTACTCGATCAGTGTCTTGTGATGTAATATTTTCTCTAATACAGTCTTTAGCAATGTCCTTCTGTGCAAGATTCACATCCATCAAACAGCTTACTTGGCCAGTGTCATATGATGAGGTACTTTCTTCAACACAGTCTTCAGCAATGTCCTTCTGGGTAATATTCATATCTACCAAACCGACTACTCGACCAGTGTCCTGTGATGTGGTACTTTCTCTAGTATAGTATTCAGCAGTGTCCTTCTGCACAACATTTGCATTTACCAAACCGTCTACTTTACCAGTGTCCTGTAATCTTGTTTCTCCAATATTTTCATCAGCAATGTCCTTCTGGGCAACATTCATGTCTACTAAACAATCTACTTGATCAGTGTCCTGTGATGTGGTACTTTCCTCAACATAGTCTTCAGCAATGTCCTTCTGGGCAACATTCATGTCTACTAAACAATCTACTTGATCAGTGTCCTGTGATGTGGTACTTTCCTCAACATAGTCTTCAGCAATGTCCTTCTGGCCAACATTCATACCTACCAAACAATCTACTTGACCACTATCCTGTGATGTGGTACTTTCCTCAACACAGTTATCAGCAACATTCATGTCTATCCGATCAGTGTCCTGCAAATAACTTTCTGTAGCACCTTCTTCACTCATCACTAGCTTGCTGTGGGTCATTTCCTTCAAAGAATCGATGTTTGAGTGTGGTTCACAGGATTCAGTTTGTTCAAGCAGACTCTCAGAGGAACTCTGGGGATCTGAAGAGTGGAACTCTGTCTCCTCCTGCTCCACACTCTTCTGCTGGCTGTCTGTACTATCTCCCGACATGGCATTCAGAACCTGCACACACAAGCACATCCTCTCTAGGTAAGGAATAAATCAATAGATGTTCATACATAGATAATTTAGTTGATCACATGATTCTAAATACAGTTGATCACATGATTCTAATCCACATTCTTGAAAACTAGGTAGGCATAGTTTTAGGCATTCTCAGGTGCAGTTTTAGAATGGTTTACATAATATTTAATGAATAGTCAGTTCTTGGTTTCACTGCTAAATCATTTATCAAAAATGGTAACATTCCTTGTGGAGTTCCACAAGGTTCATTTTTAGGGCAGTTTCTCTCTTTGTACATGTTACCTCTAGCTAATGTCATCAGGAAATATATGACATTTCATAGCTAGGCTGATGACATACGATTATAAATTTTCATTCCTTCTGAAAGTCAAGACAGGCTTACCAGTTGTGTGTCAGATATTTCTCAGTGGATGTTGCAAATTGTTGCAAAAACTACAACTAAATCGAGAAGAAAATAAACATAATGACTCTAAATTTTGCTGCTAAAGACTGATGCTAAAATTCAGAGAAAGCTACTTTGTAATAAACTGTGCCTTTTGCTTTGTATTCCAAATCTGAAATATTAAACCTGGGAGTAATTTTATCGAACTGAGTTGGTGTGAGGTCAGATATACATACCTTTACACCTACATGACACATTTCTTAACCCTCCAGTTGCAACGGTAAATGCTCTTACCTTCATTAGCTCAGGTCCGGGGCTGGGGTGCTGAGAAAATGCAGGAACAATTGGCTCCTCCAGAAACCCACTGCTGTCTGATTGACAACTATTCGTCCTCAGCACACATGAACTGACCCGGGAGAGGCACGATCGTTCGTTACCTACACAATCCACAACAGCAACTGTCTGAAAGTGACCATTGTTTCCATAGTATAATGGAGCGTAATGACACCTCATTCAAAATAACCTCAGGGAGATAAGCCTAAATAAACACATACCATTAATGCTTCTGCACAGCGACAATGCCTGTCCTCTGCTCAAAGAAGCAATAGAAACTTTGAGCAAGCCTAAACTGATGTCCATATGAAAATGATATAACCATATCAATGTAAGATTTGCATTTTATCAAAGCTGTACTGCTCCACATTAAATTATCCTTTAAAATAAAATGACATCATGTACTAATTCAGGCTTTTTAAGAAACTATGACTATGCTTTTAGGAAAACTTTTATTTTTAGACATTAGTCATTATTAGACACACAGGTAAACACACACATACACACACAAAAAAAAAATACTGAGAACTAGGATGCAAAACAACTTGGAGAAACATATGCCCTGATGCCCAGTAGAGGGTGCTATGAAACAACATCAACTGATTGGAACAGTTCACAAAGCGAACTTATAAAAAGACATTAGGACATGTTCCAGCACACATACCTGAGTGGTCAGTGGGGCTAGTGCAACTCCCTGCTATGCTTCCCTCGTCAAAGCTCTGGATCTGAGGAGGAAAACAAACAACTCAGTTGGAGGAAAATCTTTCTCTTTGATAGTTCCTAAACTCTGGAATAGTGTGTCAGAACATATTACAAATGCACACCAGTAACATAGTGTAGACAACAGAAGCCATTTCAAGATGTTTTATTCAATATTTCATGTTTTTTGGAAAACAGTAAGAAGTTATTAAATGATAACTGATAAGTTCAAGTTTCAGTTCATTCTTAGTGTTTCACAGCTTTCTCAGTCATTATGGAATCATCTATAGTTCTGTTCATAATTCTGGACACATTAACATATCTTTTTTTCACAGCTTCCTATTTATTAGTTTAAATCTGTGAAGTTGTAGAGTAGTAGCAGTAGTAAACTGAAAACTGTGATGTTAAACTTTTGAACTGTGATCCCAAACTTTTGAACTGTAGTGCCATTTCTTGTATTCCACAGTCAAGTTTTTAAATCCAGATTAAAGACACTTTTATACAGGCTAACACATTGGGTACATTTTTTTTCATTTATTGTCTTTATTCTAATTCTAAGCAGAGCCATAACACTTCACCTCTTCCAGCTCAAAAGACTCTGCAGGCTCGCCTGGACTCCTTTGTGTGGAGGCTATGTTGTGTGGCTCTCTGGCTCCCCTCTGACTGCTACTCTGGCACTGAGGCAGAGGGGTGGTCAGGGTGGGTTCTGCTGTTTCTGGGACAGAGCTTTGCTCCTCTACCAGCGGGCTGAGGCTGGCACTGTCAGGGAGACACTGCCTGGCACGCTTTACAGGGCTTCGCTTGTCATGTGGAGGATCTGCAGGTAGATCTGGGATAGAGGACGGGCCTGTCAGCGGAGGGGAGAGCGGCTGGTGGTCTTGGGCAGCGGGCGCTTGGCTCAAGGACTTCTTGGAGGCTTTGCGTAGCAGCATTCCAACCCGTTTCCTCCTCTCTTTGGTTTCTGCTGAGACTGGGGCTTCTCCTGGCTTTTCTGCAACCTGAGCAGAGCCTCCAACCAGGGAATTGAAGGCTGTAGTGACCTGCTGTAGCACCTCTAGCTGTCTGAACCGGTCTTTGATACAGAAACAGTAAGAGAGAGAGAGAGAGAGAGAGGCAATAGAGATGAAGACAAAGTCCATTTCTTTATACATCACAAATGTAAAACAGTCAGTTCAAACATACACCAGTTATCAGCCCTTCACCACACTGTAACTATCCAGGAAATGAATGGACAATTTTACTTTTAGCTGGAGGGAGAAAAACTGCCCATTCTCAAAATAGGCATTGCATGCAACAGAAGTCATGCAATTATCTAAAGAAATGAAGTGGTTGCTCACTGCTGACGTCTGGATTCTCAATGTCCATGCGGTTCTTCTGTGCTTCCAGGAACAGCTGGATGTTGATGCCACGAGCCTTGGACTGATGGTTGATGAAGCGGGCTGGGATCCTCACTGTAATGTCCGGTTCCTCTGCACCAAAGCCCAGGTCCAGCAGCAGCTCCTCTGGGTCATCCTGCCACAGGTTCAGCACATCCATGACACTACAAGAGAAAAGTCACCAAGTTATGAGCTTATTTGGCATTAAAAATTATCTTTAAACAAAAAAAATACAAAATAATTTGCTTGTTACCTACTATTGCTTTACTATTTACTATTTGCATTTTTATTGTTAAGTTTTGACCAAGTTGTTGTCTCTAATGTAGGCTAATGGTTGATGTACATTGTTAAGTTATTGTAGCTGAGTCGTGGGTATAAATTTGTGTAAGTAGTGATAAAAGGCCTCCAGTAGAGATAATAAAGGGCCTAGTCACCATGGGCCCCCTCCCCCACACCACAGGGCCTAGTGCTTTTGCCCCAGGTACAAATCCTAAATTATGGCATTTACATAGACCTCCTCCAAAAAAACTGATAAGTAAATCAAAGACAGATACCTCAGTGGCCCAGAATGGGTTGAAAATGCTGATGTCAAGCTGCTCCACCTGGGCAAAGGAGGTCTTGCTATAGAGGACCTGAAGTGTGAGGAAACCATGATGCCACATTAGAGAATCCAGCCACAGAAGTGTAACTGCTTGGCGTTTACATTCTGCCACTACTCATCACAACCATAAATCATGTTTCCAATCCCACCCTTTTCCAAACATGTCTCATATCTTCCCCAGCAAACCTCATGCAAACCAACTCAGTGGCCAAGAAGGAGGCAGGTCAACTGAGTGTGTATATTTGCATGGAAAATATGAGTCATTGGTTGCTGACAGGTGTCTAAATACCTGCCCCATCCAGTACATGCATCACACATCACATGACCCTCATGACCCTCCCTTAATGTAATACTGATGTGCACTTCGATTAGGGCAAGTGTCCCCAACTCTGTGCATGGAGTAGCCTTGCACTGCTAATTTTAGAATTTTTTTCTGCTTGTTAATAAGCTGATGAGTTGACTAATGTTTCTTGGGAGCAGAAAACATATCAAAATGCAAAGTACAAGTGCTTGAGAACCAGGACTGGGAAACACTGCGACACAGTAAATATTTTTAGCCTACTTTGATTGCATGCTGTTTGATGCCGAATGCTTTTATAAACATGGATATTTACAATAATTTTATTAGGAGCTACCCATTTCTTATGGAAGAAAACATTCAATCTAGGCAATATTAAAACATGTAACTCTAACCAACAAATATGCAAAATGAGAACACACAGACAGGAATTTCCATTGTTCTCATGGCTAGATTACATTTCTATAATGTTTACCTTAAAAAAGGAAACAGATGAGAGAACCTTACCTTAGAAATCCTTGTGCTGTCCTTATAGCAGGTTTACCATATAAAGATGCTGTTTTGGAAAAAGGCAGAAAAGAGAAGAGGTCATTTTGAACCGACACATTAGCCTGCGGCAATAAAACATGCTCAAGAACTCTCTCTGGTAGCTGTCATCAACATTAGGGCAGTACAACAGTAGCTATATTAGGAAAGCATTCTTCTTGTTGTTTTCTTTTGGCTGTCCTCTCATACCGAACCATCAAGGTTTTTCCTTCATCTCTCTTTGGCATAATGTCAAGGACAAAGTGAGACCGAGTGTCTTCTCATTTGAGCATCTCCAATGCAGGCCTCTCCTATTATGTCTCCTCTCCTTCTGCCAAAGCATTAGATGTGTTTGATTCGGCAGAGCGCTGGCATTCCGGTCCATTCCAGTGTTTCATTCCCTTCCTAAGACTCATGATCTTCTTGGCTGCCATTGTATAATCGCAGCTCCAGATCCATAAATGAGGCAATGCTTGACAGTGGACAAAATAGCCCATACGCCCAGAAAGATCCAGAAAAATTCACAGTGGATGTTTCCTGCTGCCTTAACAGAAAAGAAGAAAGCCTCTGAGGAGACATCTAGAGTGAAGACAACAACTAGTACATAACAATGAAAACCAATCCATGCAGGGTGGAAACTGACTGTCTTGATATGCCTTCTGTTAGGTCTGCACAGATACCAATGCACAGAGGACAAAAAAAGCTGCTAGACAAGGTCCACTAAAGCTCCATGGTCCTTGTATGTTGTGTTCCACAGACCGCAGTAGCGCTAACTCCTCTCCACAAGCAGAATGAGTTTTCTACATCGATTGTGGAGGAACACCATGCCACCTATCTCCGATCTCTCCATTCACACTAAATTCACAAATGCTTTTTCTGCCTTACCTTATTCCATCCCTTCTTTACGTCATTCTGTAAGTTGCACTTGGAATAAGCATTTCGTCTCTTCACTCAGGCAGAGACGAGTGACAGTGGGGGACTGGTGTTCCTCACACTGTGACGGTGTTTGGACAAGAGCAGAGTGTTCTTCTCAGTTGTGTTAAACATCCAGTCATGGAAGAAAGGCTTAACGGTGTCTCCCTGAACCTTTCCTCCTGCCCCAGCCCTCTCCCTCTCTCCATCTACCAGAAGAAGCTGACTACGCGTGAACACAGTGCACACATCCTAGAACTGTGCCAATCTAATTCCCTCCAACATAAATAAACTTGTACTGGGAAAGAATTCTAGTCTGTGTGTTCACCACTTTGAGAGCTAAAATAATAGACCTTGAGGCATATTTCAGATAAATCATTGATGTGTTTAAAACCAAGAGTCCTGTTTCAGCCCAGTATTTGCTTTATCTAAACTTGTGCTCATCACCTGAACAATACAAAACAGAATAGGTTTACCTTCTGTGCCCAGCGCCAAGTCATCTTCAGAACTCGCATTCCTCTTGAGAGGCCGAACTATAAGCAGAGTGGCATTGTTTATTCTACAGCTTATACAAAACCAATTACAGTGTAAACCAACAGTCAGACGATTTAAATCCAGGAGTCAACCATTTTATGTACAATACAACCTACATATAGCTGCTCAGGAAAAAAGATTTAAACTGATTGCACCTACCTCCTTAGTATCCTAGGTATTTTTCCCCCTTATCTCTAATCACACCAGGGGCACTATAAACTAGACTATATTTATGACATCATGCAGAGCGACTAAGACTAAACCTGGACGTTTAGTGCTGATAAAGCAGATTAGATCAAGTTACAGAGTAAAGTTTGCAGCCCTGGATTGCTGCAGGACTACTTTGCATGTTGTTTGACTGGATCAGGCATGAAGAGCCACTGCCCATCGGGTGGCTTCTGGGAAGAGCTGCAAAACCCCTTCTCAAGTAAAATGTGTTTATAAGTGTACTTTCAGAGAATGATACTAGTAATACTTCACTTTCTCATCTCACAAAGCAAAATTAGTCTACACTAAACATGCCAGAAGTTATAGGACACTTCAAGCAATGTCAAGTAAACACTTACCAGGGGTGTCCTGGACAACATCTGGTTTAGCGTCTTCCCTGAAGAAGTAAGTCACAAGTTAAAAAGGCTTGAAAACATCCACTTCTACGTCTATCTGTCTTTAAATCTAATCAGGAAACTAAGTAGTGGAATGAAAGTACGGACTTACACACAGTGATACATTGATAAATCATGTCTCATTTGCCAAACTTCAAGTTGTTGGTGCATTTGAAAAGGAAATTAATTCTGCTGCATAGGTGAATCAGTACTCACTCAGTGATCGAAATGAGCCACTGCTGAATGCTGTCTTTAGTACATTTTTCTGCTGAGAAGAGAGAATAAAATAGCTGAATACTAAAGCTCTCTTTCCGTTCTCAGTGTCCCCTGTTCTGTTTTATTTCATTTTGTCCCACTTAAAGGTTACTGGCCTATCTCTCTATGACAGACAAATTCAACATGACATGACTTACGTTCATAGAATCAAGCAGTGTATTACTGTGACAACACAACACTGTTTCTGATGGGCCATACCTCCATTGGGGCTGATGAGTGGGTGAGTAGCTGCAACGTCATTCATCCCACTCCACCTGCTTCTGCAGGCCAATAGTCTGGCCCTTTTATCAGCCACATGATCAACAGCCATCTCTGCAGTCACAAAATCCAGCCGCATCAACACACCTCGCAACACACTCGCCTCTGCTTGAGTAAACAGAAAGGGAAAGACAGATGCAAATGTGGCAGATCAGCGTTAAGCAGAAGTCACAGGGCAGCATTTCCTGCAATGCTCAGAACGGTCATCGTTTCCTGCCACAGTGCTTATCAGGGTCAAGCAGCCAGAGTGAAGTGAAGATTCTTCAGAGGGATATTACTCAAGGTTAAGCTCTGAAACTTACAAGATAGCAGCTGTTTGTCATTGTGGTACTGTACTCAAAGACAGTGGCATAACTAGTGGCAGAGCATGTGGGGGCCACCTCATTGTCTTTATTCAACACCTTATATCACTAATGTAATTTTACACTTAATGATGAGATTTTATTTGTATATTTCCAGTGATTACAATTGAGCATCACATTACATAAGCTTACATTACATTAACACCAGCTTTGCTGAGACAGCAACAGCAAGTCAACAAGCAATTAACTGTCATTTTTGTATTCATGGAAAGTCTTATCTATATATCTGTCTGTCTATCTATCTATCTATCTATCTATCTATGGACTTTACACATACAAGACATATCAATGCTATATTATGAGCAATACCATTTATTTAGAGAAGGTCATTCTACAGAAACGTCCATTTTTGTGTCCCTAGTGTTTACAGATATATTACACTTGAAAAACATGTTAGGGTTACAATTTATTTATATTTTAAAATAAGTTATTTTACACCTTCTTGAGCCATCGATTTAGCAATATTGTTTTTTAAATCAATTATATAGAATTCCAAGCACCACAGAAGTGCTCGTCCTCACAGTCATGTGTAAAGGCTGAGTGCCATATTTTGAGGTATTCTTAGGTAATTGTGAAAAAATAGAATACAAATGGATTAAATTCCATATTTTATTGGATATTCCAGGATTGACAACATGTGGTTTGATGCTCTGTAGCAGCCATTTTGTAAAATGCATTTTTCATTAAAAGTGTCACTGGTGTTACTGTCTCTGGTGTTACCTTTCTTATGTGTAACACCAGTGAGGATTGGTAACACCAGTGACTCCTATGGATAGATAAAAAAGTAGACGTTCCTGTAGATTGACCCAGAAATAAAAAAGTGTTTTCCATTATATGTCACACATTAGCTCTAGAAGAGGAAAAGAAGATGTTACTCCCTACATTCCCTATTCCGTTTATAACTAGGAACGCTAATTTAGCCGCAAACTCAAAACACAGCAACAAAGTTGCAGCAGCGGATTCTTGTGTCGTGTTTAAGGTCGAATAACACGTATAAAGGAGTCCAAGCGTTGTCATTGTAGTCACTCTGTACAAAAAAGGTTAGCCTTCTTTTATCTTTAAAACCTTTAAAAGCAAGCATACTGTTCTGGGTGTAAACTTAACATAGCTAGATCTCCACACTTCTAATGAGATTGACGTGATTTGAAATGCAAGATTCAACCTTTTCAAGCTTACTGCATCCATTTTACCAGTGAACGTACGTTGTGAGCCATCAAACAAGGGAATAAGCATGTAAGAATAAGCATGAATTACAGTATAGGCTCTAATTGCTCTGGCAGTGTGGCTGCGGGAAAGCTGAACTAGTCAGTCAGGAGTGCCGAGGTAAACTCACCTTATCTCGTGTCCACAGTGTTTCACATAACGCTTAACTAGTAGTTCCAATGAGAGCTTTAAACTGTTAGTCTACACAACCCCATGGCTGTGTTTACTGTTGCTTACTTACTTCCTGCTTTGGGAAAAAGCCAATGTCACGGTTTATAATTTGGCCTCGCGCCCACAAGAAATCTATGCAAATGAGATGACCAAAAAAAAAAAAGAAAGAAGGAAAAAAAAGTCTCTGGAGTTCCAAGGACCCTGCATGTTTGTGAGGCAGCTTATTCTTCGACAAGGAGGAGTTGATATGTCAGAAAACGGAATACAGCTAAACTAGTCTAGTTCACAATTTTTATTTTTATCTGTACTTATTCACTCACTCATTTACTTAACCACTTACTTGTTTAATATAAAATATTATATTTGTATGCTATGTATTTTATTATTATTTATTTTTGCCGTAGTGTGAGTGGGTTAAGAGGTTAAAAGCGAGTGTTTTATTGCGCGTCTTGCTGTGCTGCATTTCCACCAGCAGATGTCACTGAAAGACCGCTGGGAAATTCACTGACTCGCAGTGAACCTCACACGAAAGAATGTATCACCTGCGCTGGATTTGTATAGAAAACAAAGCGTTTTTTTCTTCAGAAGTGACAAAGGGTGAAAATACGAGGGTCTAAATCCTATTCGTTCTGTAAATAGCTGTAACTTACTGTATTGGTAAAAATATTGCTGCACCATTTGTCATTTAATGCTTTGAATCATTGACTCTGTGTGAATAAACACATATTTTAAGCCCGTGTGCAGAATCTGAACACATCTTTTAACACAAATATTCCTACTCCCACACTGAAAATGAACTGTGATGGAGCAACCCTGCTCTCAGTTGTAGTCTTCTCTGAGCCCAGGTTTGCCCTCAAAACTGTTTTCAGTGTTTGCATGAATACATCTAGTACTTTACACTGGTTTACACTGGTTTCTGTGTTCTGTTCCAACAAAAGTACCACCTCTCTCTAAAACATATGCGAGGAAAACAAAAGCACAGAATAATTAAGCAGCATTCGATGGAATTTGTTTATAATGGTACACATTCTTGACGTGACATGAATATTTGAACAGCCAGCAACTGCTAATTTAATCATTCAACATCTGTTACGATTACTTCAGCTTCCACACCAAGCTTTGTATAAAGGCATTAAGCTATAGGAGAGAGTCTTAGTGTGCACAGACAGAGGAAAACTAGTCCATGACTATGCGCTAACCTTAGTTTCAAACATGATTCTCTTCATTTTTGTGCATTTTTTTTGCCTGTTCATTTCTATTTTAGTTGTTTGATTCATTTGACTCCAAATGGTTTCCTTCTCAGTGAAATTATGACCCTGATGTGTCCTTGTGTTGAATTGTCAGGTAATTTCTTCATCTATTTTTCCCCCAGTACACCATGAGCTTTTTCAGTTCAGTTTATTCATCAAGTTTATATATCCATTACATATCATGACTACCATTTTGAAAATATCATGTGTGACTATGTGTGGGTTTGTCGTCCATTTGTGGCCAGTTGTCAAAGATCTGTGCAGCAAGGAGGTGGTGGTGGTGGTGGTGGTTTTGAACATTGCGTTGTGTTCTCACTGGTTTTGGACAAGGCCTCATACAGCCTGTCTGTGGGTGGGATGCACAGACCCTGGCGAGGCTGCCGGGTGGTCACGGGGTCCAGACCATGACTAATACAGACCCCAACCAGGCTGACCAGATGGGGCCATCAGATTGGCTGTGAAGAGGAGCAGGCCAACATTTCAGTAGAGGCAATAACAAACGCAGAGCAATGGCAATGTTACTGTTACATAATTGCTTTGCTCAAGTCACAGCCTTCAAAGTGGATACGCATATAGGTGCTAGAGATGTCTCCGCACACGATGGCCATGACCATGCACAAGCCATTATTGTCCTGGAAATGAGGGTTTGTTCTGAACAGAAAATGACAGGGTTCTCATAAAAATGTCTACACATCCTTATACATGTTTTATTCTGCACCGAATTCTCACATGCTACGCTCTCAGTCATTCTTTCAGAGTATTTACTGGGTGTGC